GGAAATGGACAATGGATCCATTATTTGCTTGTAATTAATAAGAATAATAATAATGATAATGTTAGTTGCCACCCTTTATTATTTTTGTTGTCGTTTCTACTTACAGGAAAATAATGGATCCATTATCCATTTCCAATCCATTATTTTTCGAGGGCGCGCGGGGGGGGGGAGGCCTCACGAAAAACAAACAATAATAAAGGTGCTCCCCCCCCTCCCCCTCCCTTCCCCTTCTCTTGTATTACCCTTCTCCCTTCCCTTGTGTTCAGAGGTATTCAAAATAATAGTCATGAGGCCCCCCCGCACTTGTGCGCCCTCGAATTTTTGACTGCAATCTAACTTCAGCCATCGACCGTGGATTTATATGATTCAGTTTGCGAAGTTGTAAACTCAGTGAGCCTAGCTAAAGCTGCAGGCAGCGGAAACACAGCTGAAAGTATAGAGATACGTATAGGGATGTCAAGGATATAGTTGTAGGCTCAGGGACACGCTCTATCTGTGTGACGTCACATGCTTACAACTTACAACTCGCTGTTGAGTTGTTTGGCTAGGCTAAGGAGTTCTATGATTGGTTGGTTGGTTCGTTCGTTCGTTCGTTCGTTCGGTAGGTAGGTAGGTAGGTAGGTAGGCAGGTAGGCAGAGTCAGTTAGTCACATAGTTCGTCACATAGTCGATAGTTAGCTGGTCACTCAGTCAGTCGGTCAGTCAATCAGTTAGTTGGCTACTTAGTCCGTCCGTCAGTCAGTCAGTCAGTTTGTCTGTTAGTCATTTAGCCAGCCAGTTTGTTTGTTAGTCGGTTAGGCAGTTAGACAGCTACTCAGAATATTCAGTCAGTCTGTGTTGTTTTGTTTGCTATTGTTTTGTTCTGGTGTGTTTGCTTGTTTGTTTGCCTGCTTGCCTTTCTTGCTTGCTAGCTTGATTGCTTGTCTCTTCGTTTGTGAGAAATGCAGACGCGGGTACCTAGAGCATTCCAAACATTGCCAACTTGGCTGGCTCTAGAGTGGCTACTGGGTTTGCAAAGAAGACTTCCTGCTCGAGTCCAGTTGACTTCGGGTAGCCTCGGCTACTTTTTCAGTGTTTGTTTGTCTGTGTTGTTTGTACGCTTGTTTGTTTGTTTGTTTGTTTGTTTGTTTGTTTGTTTGTTTGTGTGTGTGTGTGCGTGTGTGTGTCTGTGTGTGTGTCTGTCTGTCTGTCCGTGTGTGTGTGTGTGTGTCTCCTAGTTTCTGTGTGTCTGCGCGTGGAATGGTAGGTGGTGTTGGTTCGTTTCAGGGTTCTCCGGTTGAGTGGTTTGCCTGGCCTGGAAAGGCATTGGCTTTAGCGGGTGGGATGGGCCTTGCAGGCTTTAAGTGTGGTCTTTGAAAGTCCATGTTGAGAGGTTTCAGCGGATGCGCGCGAACCTCAGCATGGTGGTTGTAGAGCAGCATGCCGCCGAGCAGAATGAGTGGGGGCAGCTTGCAGCTGAATTGCATGCAAACTAGCCTGTGTCGTAGCAGTCGTAGGCATAACGTGATCGTCATTGACCTGGAACTTGCAGGAAGTGAAGTAGCGGGACGAATGCAAGCGAGCCCATCATATTTGTTGGACAGATTTCGGGATCCACGGCCCAGAAGCAAAGACTGATGCGATCGTATCAGTCACGATGTGAAGCGCATTCGCGCGGGTTCGCCTGATGTGTGCTTTAGAACGCAAGAGCACTTTTCTCCCTGCGTGTGTGAACGCTCGCAGGGTAGCTTGTGCAGGCACATAGCAGACCTGGCGCTGCCTGAGAGCACTTCGCGGAATGGATGTGCTTTCGCTGCAGGCTGCGAGTCATAGTCAACTGCTGCCGCGTGCAGGCGCAGCAGCCTCGTTACAAGGACCTCGGAAGCCGAACTGAGAGCATACAGGAACTAATGATACTAAGGCACAAGTTAACAATTTTTTCCCGAGCCCGCGATCCCAAACTGTTCTGTTTGCGAGGATGGAGCAGAGAAAAAGGCTATACTCGTCGAGGCGACGGCTCGCTTGCATGCGTCTTCAATTCGGGGTTTCGGCTTGGTGCCTGTGTAGCAGTTCAGGCTCGAACTGCGCTTGCAATGTCTGCGCTGTTGCGGCAGCGGCGTAGCCTGGGGTGAATCAATGCAAGATTAAAGCGTAGGCAAGGACCTCAGGTCTACGAAGGTCTGGATTCTGCATTTGACCTAGCACTAGCACGCGGCGTGGAACAAAAGAATCTCGTGAAGTCGATCTGTTGGCTTAGGGACAGCTTCTGTGAAACCTAACTCTAACTTGCTTCCTGAAAATCTTTGCATCCTTGAGTTTGTAGCCTCGAAGTGCCAACCTCCAGTCTAATTTGGAATAGCTCACTGTGGCAAGGCCGAAAAGCGCGCAAACGAGGAGCTGGCCTTCTTTCGGGAGAAGGGCGACCGCCGTGGCGAGGAGAGACAGCAGGGACGGGACGTGGATTTTTCTGGGCCTGACACGAGGAGTCTAGGTTCTAGAGACTGCGATGGCAAAAGCCGGCAAGCGCAATCTCACGTAAGCATCTCCTGCAGGCCATGATGCTCCTTTGCGGTGCCGAGGCGATGTTGGAGAGCCGAAGGCGTTGCTGCTTTCGCACTTCCGCAGTCTGTTTGTTGGCTGGCGGCTAGCAGCTTCCAGAAAGGACTGCCTAGGTCACGCCATTTCTCAGTGTCCAGGCTCCCCGAGGGCCGACGTGGCAACAAGAAGCGGCAGGAGGCCAGCGGGTTGGCGGTTGGCGTTGCTTGGGCCGGCTTTGGGCGATGGACGCGTCACCATCAGGTGGACTCTAGCGGCTCTAGCGACTCTGGAAGAGGAAGGTATGTAATCGCTTCCTCCTTTTTGCTAGAGTTCTCTAATAGGCAAGACGACAGTTTACCGGCTATTTAGGGTACCAACGAGGGTCAATCAAGAAGTAGGCACAACTTGTTGATCACGAATCAGCGCTCGCTCTCTCGCTGTCTGTCCTGTTTGGGTATCAGGAGTTGGGAGTCTGAGGATCAGAATAGCATCCGGAACATCATGACTTCAATGGCGACTGCGTGCTGGAAAGTGTAGTTTGAGTTCCTTTCCCAACGTTTCCTTTCGGCAGGCGGCAGGGGCCGGAAACATTAGGGGGAAGGGACCATCATGTCCATGAGTTTTGATAAGCCTCTGGCTGTGTGTCCTCCACCTAAGTTTAGTTCAATCCTTTGTCCAAGCTAGAATTTTTGAGTCGGATGTGCTGCAAACTGCAAACCATACTTAAGCAGCGTCATGCAATTGAATGGTATTCGAGTTGGCGGGGTGTGAGAGTTACACCGGATGTGCCTGGGCTTGAATCTCACAGCGCTTTGGGTACTGTCAAGAAAGCAAGTCACACAGCATGTGAGAGGCGTCTTGACTGCCTCTGAGCTGCTGAGCCGCTTGCTAGCCCTCCGCAGTTGCTGTGTTTTTGGCCTTTCGGTACGCAACAAAAGCCGAAGCTTGGCACAGCCGTTCCGTGACGTCGCAGGATGACGAGTGCGTCTTTGATTGACTTCACCGTGAAGACCAGACGCTTCAGGAAGCTCCGCCTCACAACGACGTTAGCTCCGCGCATGGGTGGCCAGTGATAGATAACATGCTGTCGGCGTCGGCGTGGGCAAGAGGAGCCAGAATGTGCACAAAGATCGCATATCGCAGGTAAGGATTTGCAGGCACCAGCAGATTCAACTGTGGTGCTCGAAGCTTTAGAGCATGAGTGGTTTCCTGTCTGTGGGACACTGATTGCTCCTCTGCACCACGGCGAACGAAAGGATGGAAGAAAAGATGTGATTGAATCGAAGCTGAACGTTCTTGCCTTCACTCCATCAGTTGCCACGGATCCGTGCGTGTCCTAATGTGCCGAAAATGTGAAGAGCTCGACTTTTAAACCTCATCCAGGCTTCTGTCGTCTTTGGCCAGAAGTTCTGCGCACCTGAAGAGTTGGGGACTGCGGGTCTCCTCATGACGGAACTTCTTCCGGCTGCACCTTGCCGGCTGTCCGACGTGGGTTCCTTCTCAGTTCCCCTCAGAAAACTTCTGAAGAGGTGCTGAAGGTCTTCAAATGCTTATGCCAATGCAAGCTGGCACTGCTTGACGTGCCAGATCGATGGTAAGCATCATGCCGAGAGAAGCACCTGAGGAGGATGTGTGCTTTATTGAGCTCGTGCTGCCAAGCCGGACAGTGGCTGGGGGCAAGAATACCTGCCCATGACTTGCTGTTTCGACACTTGCTGGAGGTGCTTGTCAAATCAGGATGGGAGGCGACTACATCGGGATATTGAAGAGATTAGTCGTATTTCCGTCCATCGGTTTCCCTGTGTCCTTTCCCGCTTTCCCTCGCTTACCTTGTCCCAACAGACTCGTGACTAAGGTCTTTGTCGACTAGTAACCCCCGCACAGGCTCGTGCGGCCGCGAAGCGGGCGCTGGATACCTTTGCAGAGCTCGGGGATGCAGCGAACCAGGCCAAAATGAGGGGTCGGAGAACGTTGGCGGCTGGGTTGTTGGTAGGACTCGAAGGGGTCGGACACGATTCAGAGCGAACAACCCTGACAAGCTGAATGACATGGGCCATGGGGTTTGTTAGGGTTGATGGGGGTCCGTAATTCAGTTTCCTTGT